CAACAACAACAAAAAAAAAAAAAGCTGAAGACTCCAAGTTTCCACAATTTCTACCCTTGGTTAGAAAAATAGAAAATGGTTGGATTTCAGTAAGGAAAATAATTAATATGCAGTCTCTGCCTCAGAGCAATGTACACTACCAGGCTCCAGGAGATTAGAACAATATATGATTGTCAATGACAAGTGCTCAAATCCCTGTACCAACTGGAAACTCTGAAGACTAGCAAAGTGAGGTGGATCACAACAGTCAACCACTGAGGATCTATCAGAGATGAAGCACAGCTCTGCCCCCGTGAACACACGAGGACATCACAGGTACTATGTGAACTCCTACCCATGGTGTGCAAAAGAAGAGACCACAGGGCCTCTCAAAGTCCCAGGAGTCACCTTAACCAGGCAAAGCTCATAATCACTAAACATTCAAGGTTGGTACTTAATGAGGAGAAGCATTGAGAATATTTGCCTCAAAATGAACATTTTTTTTCCTTAACTAGAGAAAGGAAACTAAAGAAAGCTAAAGGTAATATTAGTTCATACCTAAGTCCCAAAGACAATTCCCAAAGCTGAGTATGTTGTTAAAAGAAGAACACTTAGAAAACTGGATAACCAAAGAATTATTTATTAAAAAGAAAAACAAAGAAGAGGGGACTATGTTATTATCTCTTAACTTGCATTAAATGTTGAATTCTATGTCTTAGGCATCATGAATACTTAGGTAGACAAGGGGTTATAATCATATTGTTCTTTATACCTTTTTCTAAAAAAAAAAAGACAAAAATTCTAATTCTACTTCTTTGTTGACAAGTTATATTATTTTATTCTTAAGACTCAGGCAATGTAGAACCATCGTTTTGAAACAGGTTGGAATAATGTAAATACTCCAAGTTAATGTTTTTCTTTCAAGCTTAAAAAGTATTTAAATTGTTATGTTGTACTGTATCTTTGTTGTCAAAGAAATAAACACAAAGAGAACTAGAAAAATAGAAACTAAAAAAAAAAAATCATACTATCATTGACATTTAGTCATTCATTCAGTCCAAGTATTTATGGAATGCAGTCACTCATGTGTTTGGAGCGGGCGGTGCAGGTGTTGGTTTCATGACCTCTCTCAGACACCAAAGTTGAGAGCTTCAGTACTTTACATAAAATGGCAAAGGATGGGTGGGCAAGTAGTTCAGTGATTGTGCTTATCTAGCATTGTAAAGAAAAACAAATATATGTGTGTGTGTGTGTGTGTGTGTGTGTGTGTGTGTGTGCATAGGTTATATGTAAATACTTCACCTTTTTTTTTTTTTTCTTTTCAGTACTGGGTATTGTACTCAGAGCCTTATTCATGCCAGGCAAGCGTCGTACCACTGAGCTACATCCCTAGGCCCCTCTCGTATACTTTAAATCATCTCTACATTATTTGCAAAACCTAAAAATGTTTAAATGTTATAAAAATAGTCATCATGCTGTATTCTTTAAGGGAATAATAAGAAAAAAAGTCTATACATGTTCAGTACAGATGCAATTTTCTTTTTAAGTATTTGACTCACAGTTGTTAGAATGTGTTGATGTGCAGCCTACAGATATGCAGGCTGACTGTCCTTACACCTCCCTGGCACATGTAGGGTGATGTGGTGACAACAAACACCTCCTTCAAGAAGGGTACATCCTGGCGCTTGCTTTGGCCTCGATGTTTCGAGGAATGGAGAAGATTCCAAGTAGAAGAACCACTTATGTTATAAACTAACACCCTGGCCTTGAAACAGTTAAATTAACCTCTCCAATCCTTCATCTTGTCATCTATACAATAATTTTACAGGGTGCCAATATAACTGTGGTAGACAACCACTAAAATAGCCCCAGAGATTGCCTCCTCCTTGTCTTCACACCCTTCTGAAATTCCCTCCCCTTAAATGTAGGCTGGACTTATTAACTTGCTCCTAAAGACCAGAATACAGCTGAAGTTCCCGGATATCATTTCCAATATTAGGTTACAAAGAAAGCATGGTACCCCTATGATGAAATCAGGAAACAGAGAGTTCCCTGGCTAACATGCAGCGAGGAACTGAGGTCCTTAGCACAACAGGTGCAAGGAGCTTAACACTACCTACAAGCCCCTGGGAGGGCCAGCAAGTGCATCCTCCCCCAGCTCAGCGTTCAGAGGGGCCTGCAGACCAGGCTCCACAACCAGAGGGTAGTTCATGAAAGACCTGAGGCTAAGGCACCAGCTAAGTCACGCTCAGGTTCCCCTTGGCCTGAAAGCAGGGACATTAGTTGCTATTTTAAGTGGCTAATTTGGGGAGGATTTGTTGCACAGCAAAAGATAATTAATGCAATAATGCAAATGTATTTTAAATATAATACACTATAAAAGGTTTTTAAAGATTATATCTGGAACAGTATTAAGTAGGGTTTTAAAATGGTCCTTTTAAGACCTTCCTCACCTTGAATAAAATAAATTCTTTTTTTTTTTTAATCTGTGTCATCTACTACATCTAAAATTAACTGGTCCCAGTAATAACAGTCACTATAAGAATTAGAAGTAAATTATCAACCATCAAAAAAACAAATTTTTGACAAACTTTATGAAGGGATCAATGCTACAGAGGGCACATAAAGCTAAGACATAATGGGAAAGACTGAGTTCCCATCAGATGGAAGCCTTTGGGACGGAAGCGGGGGTGGATATTAAACGTAAGCATAAAAACAGGATACCGAATGAGCAATCCGCTAGGAATTAATAGTTCTACATCATTAAGTGTCTAAAAACACCACACATTATATAGAGTAAAAGTTCAGACTTCCTATTTTAGCTTCTAAGTCTTTCCTGAATAATAGCTCCTATGCTATATGAGACATACTATAAAAAAAAAACTAAAAATGATCTTAATCAAATCTGCTAACCAAACTTGGGGGAACCCCCATAGGTATGAGTTAAGTATTTAAAAAATGGGACTTAAGTATGATTAGCACAGTACAGATACTGTGACTCAGCATGTGCATACAGATGACAGACTGGGTCGCTATCCCAGTTTTTCACCTTTCGCCCACTCGAACCCTTTGCCACATGACACTGCAGTTCCTCCAAGGGCACAGTGGGCTTGCCTATCTATTTATCTGAGCTCTGCCATAAGTCTTGCTTCAACTAACGGGATGGGAGGAGCAGTGCCAACGGGCCAGTTCTGAGGTGCTGAGAACAGGCCTCATTGTGCAGCCTGCATTGGGGTTAACCTCAGTGATTTTTCTGGAGCCAGCTTATATCCTCTCATAAAAACTCATTGCTAAATCTTTGGGAACTTGCAGTCCAGCTGTTAAATACAAACTGAACTTATATTTATAAACTCAGAATTAAATAAATCATTGTAAATCTGAAGATGTTCAAAATGCGTAACTTTCTAATTCTTTTCACTTCAGTCTACTCTTACTAATGTTTTTGAAGTTGTCTGCTTACCCGAATGATGGAAAATATCAATAATGGAATCTAGCTCTTCCCACTGATATCAGTAGCTTAAAAATCAGCCTTGGTGGGAGTATTTCCACTACACATGGACAAATACTACAAATGAGGGCCTGTCCTTTCTCCCAGAAAGCAGGTTAGGCTTCCATCAGAAGGAGAAATGCTTCCTGGTTGTCTTTGCCCTTTCATCTGAAGCTCCAGAAGGATCACATATGAAGCAGACTAGAGTCCAACCCACAGGAAGACGACTAACCCCGCCAGGCCACAGCTTGAAGCAGAGCCACGAGCCAAGCCAAGTCTAGATCAGCCAACTCACATTCAGCCAGAAGAACCCTGAGCCAAGTCTAGATCAGCCAACCCACATTCAGACAGCAGAACCCCAAGTCTCAGAATAAAGGCTTATTGAGTAAACTTTTTTAGGGAATAGCTTGTTACACAACATCGTTGTGGCAATAATTGACTGAGACACGTGGTAAGTTGGAATTTGGTCAACCAGTCTATCCAAGGAGGTGAAAGATTGCCATTTAAGAAAGGAAAGGGAAAAAAAGGAAAACTGAAATAGGTCCTGAAGGTGAGAAGGTGATGGCCAACCAATGAGATTGATAAAAATGTCATGCTCAGCCAGGCATGGTCCGTGAGAGGAATCCAACAAGAATTTATTCAGCCCTACCATGTGCTAGGCAAAATACTTACACTGTGCATTCAGTGAAAGGGGCACTGTCAAGGTGCTTACAGACAAAAGAGAAACAGGTAGTACAGAAGCAATTAAAACCCAGGTGTCAAGAGGCGGTGAAAGGACCAAGGCCTGGTGTCATGAAAGTACACAGGGGAGGACTTGCCCAGTTCACAGGATCAGGACAGCTTCCCAGTGGAAGTATTCTGTGCAGACTGAGAATACTGTAGGAATCCTGTCGAAAATAACTAAAGTCTAAAAAATGAAGACAATTGCTAGAATAAAAAGAGGGAGAGACTATAGGGAAAACTGGTAGAACTGAACAAGTGATTAGATCAAAGTGCATCCTAGAGAGCCTTGGAATCCCAACAGGGGTCAGGTGCGGCCCATTTCTGTTCTCCCTGTATTGCACAGAGGCCGCTCATGGAAGAAGTCCTATTCACCTGCATGATCCTAGAGATATGCACAGAGCCTGGCCCAACCTGTGCTCAGGCTCTGAATACTCTACTTGTTTTTCCCCTCTCATTTGATGATTTATCCCTCTGCCAGGCAACCCTGAACACGTCCCAGTAACAAAACCCAACAGCTCAACTTTGGTCAGCTAATCATATGTGTATCCAAGCTGACTCACCCAGCACTGGGGCCCTGGCTTTTCAGGATGCACTGCATCCCAAGGACAGGAACACCCTGAATGCCCAACCATGGGAGAGAAGCCAGACATCTGAAGAACACCCCATTCTTCTTACTGTATGTTTTTTAAAATCCAAAGACTATTTCTATTACTCATGAAGGTATGTCTTACTTATATTATTACTTATGAAGGTATGTCTAAACCACCCAGCTACAATAACTGATTCTAAGTAGAAAAATGAAACTTGAAACTTAAAATTTACTTTTTTAATTTCAACAACCTCAGTTCATACTAGATTGTCAGAATCATGAAACGGCAAGTCCTACTGTAAGATGGTTTTTTTTGTTGTTGTTTTTTGTTTTTGGGTTTTTGGTTTTTTTTTTTTGCTTCAAGAATTAATTCCACAAGTACGACTACCCTGCAAATAATGTTTAAAAAAAAAATATCTTCGTTTTGGCCACACTGGTAAATCAAGCATACTAAAGCCATTCTACTAGATGACAATTCAAATATTGAAACACAGAAGGAAAATAGAATATCTGACAAGATTTTCATTTAGAAACATCTCAGGATCCAGTTCAATCAAGCACCAATCTATTCTTCTGAGACTGTTAGCCTGCAATGAAATATTAAAATTAATAAGGCCATTTTCTTTGGAGACTTGGGTAAAAACTCAATAGAGATGCCACAGACAAGACAGAATAGTTTAATTTGAGAGAGAAAAAAAAGTAACTTAAATTACCAAGCCATTACTGCCTTTCTCTGCTACCATTAAATACACACCTAAGGCATTTCTCAGAAAAAAACCCGAAATATACACTGTAGAAGAAACATAATATGGGTGCCTTGTTTTATTTTCCTCATCTACAGGACTTTAGTCTTGAGCATCCTGTATATTTGATTCTTTTTTCACCAAATATTTTTCTGCTCAGCTGCCTCTCTACCATGCCAAGTTAAACTTTCCCAAATCTTCTCGTTCTAATCATAGCACAGCAAACTCCGGTAAAAATAACTGAGTAAAGCTTCTCTAAAATGACTGGTATCTATAGGAAAAAAAAAAAAAAGAAGCTTTAGAATTCAGATTTTTTAAAATTTATTATGGACAAAATTACCACATTGCCACAAAACCTGAAATAGCATGGAAATACCGAATGCAACACACACACACACACACACACACACACACACACCTGAAGTTAGTAATTTCCCTCAAGTTGTAGAACATCAATAATGTAAATGACTTATTGGATGTAATTAAAGTGCAGGTTATTAGAGTGAGGTTGAATTCCCAGCTTGCCCCTTCCGTTTCTAAAGTTCAACTAGAAAACCCAGACTTTGTCCTTTACACTGATAACAACAAAATAGAGGCATGAAAATCGAATGGTGCAGTGAATTCTCAAGAAGCAATCTTGGCTGCCAGGGGCAAAAGAGGCAGGAGTTGGCCAGCTCTTGAGTATACAATTGGGCGTTGACTTCCTGCGCTGCATTCAGGGAGCCTGGAACCCCACATCACTCCCACGCCACAGAAACTCTGGTCATACAGACACCAAGTCTCCAATCAAACTACAAACCACTTGGGCCACAGTTAGGGTAGGTTTCTTAGAGCAGTCTAACCTCTTGATTTTTTCCTTATTTGATATAAAGGCAATTCTAGGTGAATTTTTAAAATAAGTTTACATAAAATATCGTACAATGACTTTCAACCTTTAACATAAACACTTAGTTTTTGCTCTCACTGATTTATTTAATGTCAGATGTCATTTGGAAAACCTTCTTGGATATTTTGAAATTTAAAAAAAAAAAAGGAATGTTTGTTCAAGGACACAGTGCAGCCAGCCACTGGGGAGAGGGAGGAGGAGGGGTGAATCCGAGGTTGGAATAACTAGCTTTGGAGGAGTCACTTCCAACTTACCATTTCTTTAAATGTTTGAATATTTGTTATGGAAGTACAAAATCTTGAAATGATGTCCCAATCAATAATCCTGAAGCCAAGCTTTTGGAAAACATCCCCAGTTTTTTTTTTTTTTGTTTGTTTGTTTGTTTGTTTTGTTTTGTTTTTGTTTTTTTAGGAGAGAATGAGGACACTGATTACGAAAAGACAATTTACTTGGCCAGGGATTCAGTATATGTAGGTCACTTAGGAACTTTGTTTATGAAGCACTGACATTCATAATCTTGGTCTTATTGTAGCAGTTAAGTGTACGGAGAAAACCAATCAATGTTATATTACATTTGGAAGGAGACAGAATATCTCCGGATTTGAAATCCACAACATAAACTAACAGCTAAATAGTACGGCTTATTTAAAGGTCACTTTAAAAGTTATTTGAATTTTCAATCACACTGATAATAAGCTCTCTAAAGTTATAGTCTTTAAGCCTGGGTTTTACAAAGAAATACGAAGTCAATCTTGAGTCAGACATTTTCTTCTGTCAGCTAGAGTAGCTGCTTGGGGCTCTAGCATTCTTGAGTTATTAAGCCTACTCTTACAGCAATGATAAATGGTCCCATAAAGTGCTTGTGACACATCTGACGTCATCCACTGGAGCTGAGGAATAAGTGAAACATGAATGAGAGTTAAATGGGAAGTGAGGTGTACAAAGATTTTCTAATACTTGGTGTTAAAACAGATTTATAAAGAAATTGATAACATCCCCAAGAATATAGATAATATGTACTGTACTTTTCCTTATAATAATAATAATACCAGCTTTCTGGAAAAATTGCATTAGAGTTCCACGTTATCACCATGTTTTTGTTATTCCTACATAAGCTCATATGACAAGTAGCGACAGGATGTCACTTTTTTGAAGCTAGCAATCGAAGAGAATTTTTAGCACTTAGAGAAGCTCAAGCCTTCAGCAAGAAGGTACTAAAATCAGAGTCTATAATTGGCATTTAAAATAAATGTTGCTGTCACAATTCAATTTCTGATGTCTGCCTATAACCAGTGGTTTCCTTTCTGTAAAAACAATCAAAATAATTTATCACAAAACATATTTTAAAGTATATTCTTTAAAAACAATTAATGATCAAGAATATCTGATTGAAAGGCAAAAAGAATGGGTTTAGAGCATTTACCAACTACACGGTGTAGAAAGATTAAGAAACAGTGGAGGGGAGAGAGGGGAGACTATTTCAAAAGTGCACTGCTTCAATTGTCAGGAAATGCCCTATAATTTCCTGTGCTATCAATCTGAGTTTCAGAACATTTAAACTGTTATAGTAAAAGAAGAACATCAGCAGTACAGGACAAAAGATGCAACTATTTTAAGACTTATGTAAAGAAAAAAAATATTTCTAAAATCCTTTAAAACTAAAGATGGAAAAAAATCTTTGAATCTGCAAAGAACATCCTACCAGAGAAAAAGGGGAAGAAAGGTAGAAGGGACTTGAATTTGAAGAACAAAATTAAAGTTTTCAATATTTGAAAGCTGAAAATTCAAAGCTGTAAAGTTTGCAAGAGAATTCTAAACAGTTCAAAAGGATCTACGACAACAGCACAGAGCATTAGACCTTTACTTTTTTAATAATGAAAGAAAAGTTTAGTGCATACTGAGTGATATTAAGATATTTGGTTGGTTGGAAGGAAAAAAAAACTGTGTTGAAGTCTCTCTTTTCATACACACATTTGCTAAGTTAATTAAAGCATAAAAACAGCTTCTCTAACCATGCTCCACTGGCTGGGAACAGTCAACATAAGTACTTGAAAATAAAACTGAAATAAATATTCTATCACTAAATCGTCCAACACCACTATCACCTCCCCCAAAACCTCAGTAGTTTTCAATCATATGATTAAAACAAAACTGGCCTGTACATAGTTTTTCCTCACTTTCTGAGAAGTGACCTGGAATAACTTTTTCCCCATCCACTTCACAGTCTGCAAGAACTACATTGGGGAAGCCATATTTTAGACAATTGTAAAATCAGTGCACTATAAACATGATGGTCAAAGGATAATAGAAACAAAGAATACAGCTTGATTTTTTGAATCCTAATCCAAATTCTTCTGAGGAGTCACAAAAAAAGACTTGAAGTGTAGCTTTTCATCTCTCCGAGCCTTAGTTTCTAATCTATGAAATGAGAGTTGGGTTTATAGTGATTCTGTCTTTTCTGGTCACAGCCCCCTGTGACACTTGGATGAAGGCCTTAAGATGCCTGTCCCAACACAGACTCACACAATAAACACATCCAACAAAGTCTGTGATTCCAGGGAGGAAGATCACCACCCGGCTCCCTGAAGCTCATCCACCAGTCCTACCTCCAAGTCTGTATTAGAAGATTTCTAAGGTCTCACCTAATTCTAATCCTCTGATACTGTCACCAAGGTACTACGCCTTCATAAGTTACCTCCTGAAATTGTCCACCACTGTCAGAGCCTGGCTCACTTCAGAGATTTCAGAGAAAATAAGACATCAAGAGTATCTTAAACCTGATGTCTTATCTAATTTCAATTTTTTAAAAATCAAGTCCTTTGAATGTAGCTCTCCAAAACAAAAACAAAAACAAAAACTTATTAGAACTCTCCCCTCAGGGTCAGCTATTAGAATCCAGTTTAGGAAATGGTTTGTTGGTTTAGATCCCAACTTCCTGTCACTTAACCCCATTATTACCTACAGCCCCTAGAAGCAGAACTTCCAGATGAATGCCCCCATTCTGGAACATCAATCATTCAACAAGGTGTAGGTACCTCTCAGGAAGTTGCAATAAATAAACTAAACCAATGAAATTTCTCTCTCAGAAATCTGAATTAAGAAACAAAGCACCTAGAGTAAGATCACATGTGAACAAAGATGACCCAGAGTATAGACTTTGGCACAGTAAGCATTTTTTTTTTTTTGACAAGTATATTTACCCTTTCCTCTGCCTAATGCAATATGTCCCAAAAGCCATAACCTCTTAGATCCTCCTCAAAAATAACCTCCAGAGAAATGATAACCTGATCAGTAATCCCTACTACATAAAGCTGTTTGCTATTATTCCAAGAATGTAAGATTTGACAGACTATTGATATCTTTAATACGATAGATTATTAATTTCTCTTTTAAATCTAAAGAGGAAAACTAAGTTAAACCGAACTTTTTTCCTAAAATACTGAAATATTAACTTGAAAAAAACCTTGTAAATGAATACTTATGTACATGAAGGGAACACAGTAACACATACAACCCGTAAAAGATACTACAACTCTTCAGTCAAAATTCATTTTCTACTTCTGAAAGCTATTTGGGTCAATTGACTGTGATAACAATCAAGCCATACTCTTCTTTATTTCCAAAGAAATCCCTTAAAATCAGAGACATCAACAGCAATTTAGGAAAACAAATGGATTTTCTATTTGCATTTAAACTTAATCAGGACTTAAACAGAAGGAATACAGCTTAATTTTTCTGAGGTGCATTGAACCCAAAGGAACTATGTTGTTTTTAAAAAGGAAAAAAATATATATATATTTTAACTAGAAAACTAAAAGTAAGTCAAAAGGAAAAACCTCGCAAAAATAAAAAGCAGATGAAGTCAAAGAGGGCCTGGTCTGAAGCTAACAGAACAAAGGCTGTACCATACTCTACACAATAAGCCAATTACTGAAGACCACCCCTCATCAAAAACTCTCAAATACCCACTTTGTTTAGTTTCGGTTTGGATTCTCACTTCTTTTAGTTAATTTTTAAAAAAATATTCTTTTTAGTTGTAGTTGGACACTGTATCTTTATTTATTTATTTTTATGTGGTGCTGAGATTGAACCCAGCGTCTCGCACGTGCAAGGCAAGCACTTTACCGCTGAACCCCAACCCCAACCCTTTTTATTTAATCTTGCTACCCTGAACCTAACATGTGACTGTAATGTTCAAACACAATTCTTTAAAATAGAAGACCTATGAGGGCATCATAATCTAACCCACAATGTCACAGAACACAGAGGCAGAACAATAGCTTCAGCAGACAATGCCTCAACAACAAGGCAAGTTCCCCACTGATAACGAAGTCAGCATCCTGCACATCCAAAGGTCCCTTCTGAGAAACTAGGCCTCCCTCTACTCATGGGGAGCAAACAAAAACATACCAAGTGGATATTTTCTAAGTCTATTCTGCAAGTTCTTCATTGTATAATGTCAGATAAATTACTTACCCAAAACCACTTCTATCCTAGAATACAGATCTGAGCATATGTCACATATATAACACATTGAATAATTGTATATTCAAATTGTGTGTGTGTGTATACATACAATTATTCAAATCATTTAGTCCATTGAAAGAGAAACTAAATGACACATGTTCTGAAATTCACATCTACATGACAGTCTATGCTCAAGTGCTATGGGTCCAATCTAGAGCAAGGACATGGTGCTTCTTCTTCCCCATTTTCCAGCTTCCTGAGCAGTAACAACATGGAAACCAGAGCAAAAGTTATTGTCAATGGCATGCCCATCATAAACTCCCTGAAGAAAAATACCAGGTATTATAAGAAACAATGTAATACAAAAGGAACCAATATTTGACAGAGTACTCAGTCATTGATTTTGTTTAATATTCCCAGACCTGAGAATTCTCAGAATGTATAATTATGAGTAATAACACCATAATTATCTCTACTGATTCTTGATGAACATAAGAATAAGAGCCCTTTTTAAAAGAAATGGAAAGTTTTATATCAGACAAAGTAGAGAAACTTGTGGTCATTCTTATTTCCACCCCCATCCCCGCCCACTTCTACTTTCCAGACATCACTTCATAACATTGATAAGTTTTTGTATATAACTTTAAAAGATGAGTTCTTTTAAATATAACTATAATATCATCATATCTAAAAAAATCAATAATTCCTTATATCAAATACTCAGTCATTGTTTGATTTCCCCCATGGTCTTGAAATGTTTTTAGTCTGTTTGAGCCAAGATAAAAATAATATTCGTACACTGCAATTGATTTGACACATTTTAAGTCTTCTTTTGAGATTCTTTTCCATGTTCTCATTTCTTGTAATTTATTGTTGATGAAACCATATGGTTTGTCTTCCACATAGTTTCCCCTGATTCAGATTTTACTGATTGCATCTCCATGGTCACATTAGCAGTTCAGTCCAGAGACTTTTACAGAGACATGTCTTTTTTTTTTTTTTTTTTGGTGAGAAAACATTCTAGCTGGTGTTACCTACTTCTATCAAAAAGTATATAATGTCTGAATGTCTAGTAGTCTCTTTGTGATAATAGTAGCTATTAATGATGCTCATTTCCTTCATCCATTTTTATTAGGTTTTAAAAAACGGTAATATTTTAAATCTATCATTTCTTCAATTAATGTTTCAAATACTCCTATAATGAGAAACTTATCAATTATTTCATCATACTAAGGTACAATTTCTATTGGAAAGGCAGTACAAATAATTCCTTTTTCTATTTATCACTTTCAAAGTAACAAGTTAATTTCCTAGCATCCTTCGAAGGTGACCAGGTTGTTTTGTATGATTATGAAATCATTAATTTAAATATATTTGATATGACTCAACTCACTGTAGTTGTTATTCTTACCCATCCTCAAACTGGAACATCCATAGCAGTGACTCCTGGGTCCTTTTAATACAGCCTTTCCTGGTCTTTGATAGCCTCCCAGGTTTCCAGTATGACAAGCTATTCATGATTTCCATTTTCCACCCCAGACCTGGAATCTGTCATGTCTTCCAGGAGGGAGGTAGTATTTAGAGACCACAATCTGGGCACTAGATATGCTCAGTGCCACTGGGTTTATTATTATTTCTAGCCATTTTTAGCAAGTGGCTACAATAAATTTTAGGGAGCAAATATATTTTAAAAATAAATCATGAGCAAACCATATGTCTGATAAGGGACTAATATAAGAACATCAAAAAACTCAATACTAAAAAATTATTAGCACAATTTTAAAAATGAACAAAGGAGACACTTTTCAAAGGAAGAAATTCAAATGGGAAACAGGTAAAACAGGTGTTCAACACATCACTAGGGAAATGCGAAGCAAAACCACAAGGAGCTATCATCTGACGTCTGTTAGGAAGGTTATTAACAAAACAACAAAAGCTAAATGTTGGTAAGGATGTAGAGAATAGGGAACTCTCACACAGGGATGGTGGGAATGTAAATTAGTACAGTCATTATGGAAAACAGTGTGGCAGTTCCTTTAAAAACTAATAACAGAACTACCAGGGGATCCAGCAATCCTACTACCAGGTACATAACCCATAGGAAATAAAATCAATACCCCAAGGAGATATCTGCACCCCCATGTTCACTACAGTATTACTCACAATATCCAAGAAATGGAAACAACCCAGCTGTCCATCAGTGGATGAATGGGTTAAGAAATCATGGATGAGATGTTACAAACACACACACACACACACACACACACACACACACACACACGAATACCCATATATATAAATATTCAAAAAAAATACATGAATATACACCATAATATTCAGAGAGAAAGAGAGGGAAAAGGGGCAGGGGCGAAATAGTGGGATACTATTTAGCTTTTAAAAAGGAGATACTATCAGGCAAGGGATGAGGCTCAAGAGGTAGCTGGCCGGCCTGGCTTGCGTGCGGCCTGGGTTCAATCCTCAGCACCACATACAAAGAAAGATGTTGTGTCTGCTGAAAACTAAAAAATAAATATTAAAAAAATTCTCTCTCTCTCTTAAAAAAAGGAGATACTATCATTTTTAAAAATATGGATGAAATATGCTAAGTGAAACAAACCAGACACAGAATGAAAATACTTCATGATTTACATGTGAAATCCAAAAAGAAGCCAAGTACGAAGAAAAAGAAATTAGAACTGGGGTAGGGGAGCTGTGAAGATGTAGGTCGGAGAGTACAAAATTGCAGTGGTGGAGGATGAATAAGTCCAGATAGTCCAAGTACAGATAAGGACCAAAGTTAATAATATGGCCTGCTGAAAACTTGCTGAGAGTAGATTTTACATGTTCTGTGGACAAAAAAAAGAAAAGTATGTGAGATGATGCACATGTTAATGGAGTTCACTGTAATGATCATTTCACTGTGTATATCAAAACATCATGTTGTACACCTTAAATATATAAAATATTCTAAATCATGATAAACCATACTGATAATAGTAATTTAAATTCAACTGTGTTCCTACTAACTTCTATCACATTTATCAATCTTACACCTGTATCTCCTTTCATAAGCACACCCAAAATCCCAGTTCTGAATGACACCAAAAATTTGCTTTATCCCATATGCACACATAATCCCAAAGAAATGGTACTAGTCACTCAACAGTGACTGCCTCTCAGTCCTCAAATGTGCCAAACTCCTCCGTCTGCCTCCAAACCTCAGTACACAGGTTTCCTTGGCCTGTGAACTCACACTGCATCTTCTCCCATCTTTACATGCCTGCTCCTCCTCAGCCTTGTAGTTTAGATAGGAAAACCCTACCTAACTCGGTCTACCTCCATCACTTCTACTGAGTTCTCACTTCTACTGACTTCTCTTGGAGACGTCCTGTGACCTACTCCCCACATTGGCCAGAAAGATGCACTGTATACCATGCACTGCTTACTGGGACTGCAGAAATTAATCCCAGTTTCTCCAAGTATTTAGATACCTGTGGGTACTTCTACTTCTTCTGAAAACATCCAGTTTAACTCCTAATTTTACTTCACTGGAGTATTTGGTTAAAAAAATCCCTAAATGAAGGCTACAAAAGCTTATATTTTTTAATTGATTTTATATTTTTAAATACACGACAGCAGAATGTATTATAATTCTTATTACAATATAGAGCACAATTTTTCATATCTTTGT